AAAAAAAACCTATATTCGTTTTCTGAATCTTATTTCTTTATTTAACACCATTCAACCATAGAAACTTGATGACAATTCTTCACTAACCTGCAATCAAATGTTTTCTTGAAAAAGAAGAATGAAAAGATATTCCAAGCAAACATTGATGTTTGGAGAGTCACATTCAAGATTGAGTAATACATACAAATCACATATAAAGATCAAATGAGAAATTGAATATAAAGAAAGAATAGAAAAGCTTCATTTGTTTTTGTTGAAAGAAAAAATCAAATTACAATTACCATCGATGCGACATAACTCATTTCTTCAAATCATCATATTTGGATCGTGAATGCTTTAACTATATGAAAACTTTTGAATCATAATATCTTCAACCAAATGACAACTTTTTGTAAGAAAAATGTATTAATATAACTACATATATAATGAAGGTGAAAGGGTGTGAGGCTTTCAAATGCATGAGGTGTTGAACTTATAGAGTGTGTGATTTTCTTGGAATGGGATTATGTGTGATTAATTACTTTGAAGGTGAAAGGGTGTGGGGGTTTCAAATGCATGAGGTGTTGGCAAATTTTTATGGGGGTTTCAAATGCATGAGATTCAAGAAAAAATGTTAGCTTTATAAGTATGTATGACATGTTGATTCTAACTTCACTCCCACATTGTAAGAAAAATCCATCATCCTTACTTCAATAAAAGAATTTATCATCTTTCAAAGAATTACTTGGGATTCCTATTGGGTTTGGGTTTAAACCCAAAACCGAACCGAAAAGAGCCCAAAAACTAAGAAACCAAACCCATCGTTTCGGGTTGGGTTGGGTTTTAATTTTCTAGAAACCGATAAGTCAGGTTTTGGGTTCGATTTTAGGTCAAAACCGATCCAAACCGACCCATGCTCAGCCCTAGTAAAAAACATAGGACATAATGGAAAATTTCTTTCAACTTTCTCTATTAAGTCTAAAGAAACACCCATACATATCATACATAATTAAATATTGACCCCCATTAAATTCATTAAGTAAAATATAATTGGTACCTTACTGAACATGGATAAGGGAGGTTGTTCTAAAATGCAATAGGCATGTTAATGTTCAGTTGCTTTCTTTTCAAGGTGGATCATGAAGTTTGAAGATTTGACAAAGGACAAGATAATCATCTCATATATCTAACAATTATCGAGTCTCAACACTCTATAATTGCTATTTTTAAGGACCCATAAAGTTGCTAACTTTATGGAGTCATAACACTCTAACTCATCTAACCATGGATAATCATGCATAAAACCTTAGATGTAGCAACAAGGAATCATAAAGCTTGAATCGTGGTTACTCACAAAGGTCCAGAGATGTTGCTAGAAGATGCAAATGAAGCTTCCAAGTTGGATCTATGCTCCAAAGGTGATCCTTTCTTCTTCAATCCACCAAAACACCACCAAAAGCTCAAGAATCAGAACGAGATGTTAGGGTTAGGGTTTTTTGTGTTTGAGGACAAAGGAGGCTGTTAATGAACCCTAAAATGAAGTTTATGGGGTTTAAATACGAAAGAAACACTAAAAGATGATGGGCTTGCGTTGTAACTCATCTCACGTCGTGAGCACTTGTGTCTCACATCGTGAGCTCAGTTAAATATGCATTTTCATTTACTCACTAGTCATGTCATGACCTCTATATGGTCACATCGTGACAGCCATTTTTACTCAAAAATCATGCCTTTCACTCCTTGATGCCCTAAATCGATCTGTTATGGGAACTGGGTGTTACACAAATGTTGTTGAGATGTAAATTTGCAAACAAAATGGCACATGGTGGGTTGTTGTTAGCTGATTGAAAGTTGGAACCCTATGTTTTTCTTATTTTCCATAAAAGATCCTTCTAGTTTATCCAATTTATGAAATTTGGAAAGTCCTTCATCAACATGTTTGCTTTCGGTGATCTCATCTTGTATGTTTGAAACATTTTGAAGTTTGTGCTTGAATGTGTGATCGTCTTTGTCTGTGTGTATACTGAATGTGTGGGTCGTATCCTCAATCTACGTGATCAAGCCTGCTCTCTAGAGTGTTAGAATAGTTAAGGATAGTACGGTCGATCCATTTTATGTCAAAAGGGTTTTGATATTTAAGGGAAACTTCTTTTTGTAAAATTAAAATGATTATGAAATATGAAAATTGATAAAAACAAATTAAAAATTGTTAAAAAAAATAATTTAGACAATATTTTTAAAGTTAAGAATGGTAAATATATTATTTAGATTTGCGATTGGAAAAATATAATATTTTCATGTTTAACAAAAACATATATGAAATTGAGGCTAATAACATAAAAACATTATATATATATATATATATTATATATATATATATCTATATCTATATATATATATATATATATATATATATATATATCCGTCTAACCACCAAATTTTAATTTGTAATAAAAAAAATCACTCATTTTTATAAATGTTCTATCGCAATTATTATTACATGCAAATATCGGTCAAAAAGGTAATTTTAAAAACCGCTGGTTAGACCAAATTCTTGGCAAAACATAGTGTTTTTATTTGTCAATATTTTATTTTTTTGTGTTTTTGTTCAAGAAAACTTATTATGTTTCTTGTTTTTTTTTTCTATCTTTGTATTTATTTTTATGAATGGCTCATTTGTTTTCACAATAATTTTTTGTATATAATTTGATTACTTTGACTAGGTTTAGGTTTTTTCTAATGATTTTTGTTTTTTTGAAAAACCATTTTTGTGGGTGGACTCGTTATAATGAAAAAACAACTAAATAAACAAAACCGACCTAATACCAATAAATATTTAATATTTTTTAGATTAATTTATAGAAAATATTCATGTGTTTGGTTGAAAGTTGCACTCTCATACTTATAGAAACCGAAATTTGCCGTTTTTGCTTTTCAACATACAGAAAAAACCGAAATGGAATGGTTTTTCAACTAAAAAAACAAAATCAAATTAATTATATCCAAAAACATTGAAACTAAATTAGAGAAACTCAAATCGAAGTTAGAAAAAAAAATCCAATGAAAAATTCTGAAATTTTTGAGAATTTTTTTTTTCTACTAATATCTAACAAAAAGTCAAATAAACATAATAAAACAAGAACCATATTGATATTGTAAAATTAGACATTTGTTAGAAAAACAATGATATTAAACACTTCAAAATGAACATTTCTAATATAAATAGAGATTTCCTTAAAAAACAAAAAGAAAAAAAAAATCTAAAATTTAAAAAACTTTCCAAAACATGTCAAAAGAAAATAGTCATTTTTTCAAAAACTGAAAAAAAAAATTAATAAATCATTTTCTTTAAATAGCTTATTTAAAATGGTAAGTTTAATAAATTTCTCTATAATATTCATTTTGAAATACACATCCCCATTAGCTACATGTCTAATGTTTCCACGTAATTATTTATTTCTAAATCTAAAACGCTATAATATTTACTATAAAACATACATCAACCGAATCCGATGATAGCATATAAGCTCAATTGATTTGAAAAGAACTTTATGTTGTCTATATCTCACTTCAAATCACAATCACGCACAACAACCCATTAGTCTAGTTTGAATAATAAGAAGGGATAATGATTTAAAAATGTAATATATTTTTCGATTTGTAGACATTTCGTCACTGAGTTTTTTTTCGTCCGCATTTACCCTTCAACTTGTTAAACTGTATACATTTAGTCATTATGACCGGCTACTCCAGGTTAGCCGGTAAAAATGACTTAATTGGGTAATATATTTCTCACTTTGTACACATTTAGCCCTTAATTTTTTTGTACACATTTAGTCCTTAATATATTTTTTTTGTCGCAAAATAAGTCATTTTTGTTTTTGTATTAATTCAATACTTATGAATGATTTCTTTAGGTTTTTCTCACGAAATCTTATGTGGAATAGTCATATGGTGGTGGGATAGGTTGAGGTGGTCCTGTTATATGTTGTAGGCCAAGATACCTGGTGCGGGCCGGCTGTAAGCTGTAGGCACGAAGACTCGAGAAGAGCGGTTGGGGTAAGGCGACATGCCAACAAACCCTGGGTATTCCAGTCTGATGACTGATTGGACTAGTTGCATGTTGGCGTTCCAGTCCAATGACTGATTAGGCCAAGGTATTCCAATCTGATGAGTGTGGGTCCATTATGCATGATAATACATTTGTTATATCGGGTATTTTGGGGGAAACTTACTAAACTTTGTGTTTATCCAGTTGTTTATGTTTTCAGGTTCTATCGTTGGTCGTAGGAAGGAGAATGCATGACTGTACACAATCATCAACAATATTGAGGATTCTGCATTTCTTATATTACTCGGATTTTCGATAAATGTATTTTGGAATAAACGTTTTTTCTTAATAATGGATTTATAATTAGGGAGTTTTGCCTTATTTAAAAATGAAAATTTTTGTTGTGAAAAAAAAAGACATTACACATAAACATCCCCAGCCCCACACACTTCATCAATGATTGTCCCACATAAGATGTCGTGAGAAAAACCTAAAGAAAACATTCATAAGTACCGAATGTGTACAAAAACAAAAATGACTTATTTTGAAACAAAAAAATATTAAAGACTAAATATATACAAAAATATTAAGGACTAAATATGTACAAAATGATAAATATATTACCCTATTAAGTCATTTTTCCGGCTAACCTGGAATAACCGGTCATAAGGACTGAATGTGTACAGTTTAACAAGTTGAAGGGGTGACGAAAAAAAATTCGGTGACCAAATGTGTACAAATCGAAAAATATATTACCCTTTTAAGTCATTATCCCAATAAGAACCAACTCAACTCAACTCAACCCAACACAAGTGCCTATAAAGCCCAAGCCACATCGAAAATAAAACTCCCACACTGACTCACCTTACCTCAATATACAGATACATGTGTTCCTGTTTAGCCCTCAGATATCAAAACATAGAATATCACCACCCAGAAGAGAAAGTTGTTTTTTTATTATTATTATTATTGTGAATACAGAAACTAAAGAGTGGAAGAGTCTCCTTCCTGTTCGTGACTAACCTTTTGTATGGCACACAGATGAATGTAATGGTGTTTATAAAGCATAAAGTATATATACAGAATTCGTGAAACCTATTAATAATAATAAGCTAGCAAAAAGAATAATAAGAAGGATTAGTAGTAGATGCAAAATGAGTGACTAGGCTGTTTGTTACTTTACTCCAAAAGACCATTAAGTAGTGGATGCCCGACATCTGGATTCCTTGTTCTCACTCTATTGCCTCCTCGTTGTCGACCCCTGCATAACAATAAATAACAACAAAACAAAATCATTCAGTCAAGTCAAGTCAAGTGTTGTCTAGATAAATTGAGATGAAAAGCACACTTGAGGAAATGGCAGCACTGACTTTTCTATTAAGTCATTCTTTCAAGTCGAAAGAGAAACAGTGCCTAACCTAGCCTAGTTGTATGCAACTATGAATTGATGACAATGTTTTTAGTCTTGCAGACTTATGTAAGTAATCCCATAGCTTAAAATAAAAGTTGAAACATATATAATCAACCATGGGCAACTGACTACTTTCACATTTTTATCCTCTACCATGAAAATTAAACAATGCATAAAACCAGATTGAAGATAATTAATTCATGAGGATACACAGTAGTTAGTTACAATGAAATGAATGACTCCTTTCCTTTGACTGTGAAAGATATATATATATATATATATATATATATATATATATATATATATATATATATATATATAGTTAAAAGGATGGGCAGGCTAAATGCAAGAAACAGCAACATCCTTGTATTCATTTGTGTATTAAATCATCCTACTTTCATTTCCTTCCATTACACCATTGCACTTTCTGTTCTCTTTTTTGTTAAGGCATTCTACTTTGCAAATTATAGCATTTATAATACACTTTGAATCTTTTTTGTATTAGAATTTAGAACATTATACTTTGAAAAATCTACCTAACCACAACAGTTTGAAATCTGATGGCATTGTTATTATTATTGACTAGATTTTACAAAGTACAATGCTATAACATGAAGAAGAAGAAATGAATTGAAGTACATTTTAACATATGTACAAAGGGGAATTGTTAATTTAGGAGAAGTAAGAGTTGTAAATGATATAGATTAGAAGCAAGTTAAGGAGGCCAAAGTCTAGAGATTTTAGTTAGAACAGAACAGAATCTCACAGTTGTATATGCAATAAGGTAATGAAATGCAGTCCAGGCAGGCATCATAGAGACCTTACACTAGTTGACTGGAGCTCCACAGAACCTGAATCATCATTGTCCTGCACATAAAAAGTTGTAATTTTTAATTCTCATACAACAAACTCAATGGCATAATAAATATATTAGAATCATACACAAACAAAAGTTAGATTGAGATACCTCAAATATCAAGTCCTTTCTGGTGATCATGCCAATCACACGAGAAGCACGTGGAACTACAAATATATGCCTCAATCCTAACTGACGGAATAGATTATATACCTGCACCAATTACACATGTAAACCAACCAAAACTCCATATTATTTTCTTCCTATTACCAAATACAAAACAATTTTCATTGGTATAACTGACTGGGTAAATATTTAAGAAACGGTATAATAGAAAGAGAAAAAGAAAAAGAAAAAGGAGATAGATACCTTGGTTAAAGACATATCTTCAGGGACAACATATGGAGATGGGTTGACAAAGGGGGCTAGATCTATGTACATTTCCAAATCATCCGGACTTAGATGGATATCAGATATTGAAAGTCCTTTACTAGAGACAGGTTTCACAAAGTCACTAAGACTGTGCCTGCAAATCACAACATATTAACTGTGACTGTCTATCTATGCAAAAGACTTAAATGAAATGCCCTCTCAGCCTAAAAGATTATTAAAATGTCCAATGAACTAATTATATATATATATATATATATATATATATATATATATATATACCTACCTGATGGGTATAGATTGGCTTCTCATATCAACTGCAAGAGGGCTATGCTGAAAATCTGCTTTAGACTGAAGAAGTACCAATAAGTGACTGCATCACAAACATTTAATATTTAAATTAAACTTCTTCAGCCTGCCTGCCTGCTAACAAAATAACTGTTTAGGGTTTAAGATTTTATTGTTTATAATTATACCTGCGCAAGATAAGACCTATGACCATTGTCTCTCCACTTCGTGACTGATCCACAACCTAAATGTCATGTATTGTTATTGTAGATATATAACTTTTAACGTTTTTTTTTTTAAGGAAGAGGAAATGGAAAACGACAGACATACAGGAAAGCCATTGTGACTGTTAGTCCTCAGAATAGCGGCTACATCAGCAACTTTCACCACACGAGTGAAGTAACAAACCTATCAAGTTTACAAATAAACAATCAATCATTACATGCAAATATCAAAACCAAACACAATAATTTGGTTTCATGGAATAAGGATGAAATGAATTTTTTAATTGTATGTACAGTTTTAAACTCCACTCTATACAGTATGTAATTATAAATATAATAAATGAACTTTTTATTTACAGATACACAAAATTAAACATAATACAACTCATTAAAACACAAATAAGATTCTAATATAAAAGTTATTTTTAGAAATAAACTTATGATTTTCTTTTCTTAATAAAAGAGATTTGTATCAGTAAAGGTTAGATAAATTAGATTCTGTTCAACTCCAAGATGGAATGAAAAAAAAAAAAAAAAATAGCACCCCTTAGTCAAAGAATAAAAGATTCCATCACAAAAAACAGGCAGTTTTTTTTTATTCGGATGCAAGTGAGATATTTTCATATGAACAGCAGAGTTACAAACCTTTTGATTCCCGCATGCCTCTTTAGCTGTCATTTTTCTCATTAAATTTTTGGGTCTGGATTCAAGTAAAGGTATACCCCTTAATCTCGCCTGTTCTTCATATAAACCTTCGTTGAAAGCATCACCAACAGCCTAAGGAAGGTAAAGGGTCAAAACTCAAAACTTGTTATAGTCATCAATCTAATTCTAATTGTAACTTGTAAGCAAAAATAAAAGAAAAAACTTACTTTTGATATGAGGAGAACAAGCATGATAAGAGGTAAGAGCTTTAAATTATTTGTAATTTCAACCATAATAACACAAAGTGAGACTGTCATTCTCATTGAACCTCCTAGAAACGAGGCAGCTCCAAGTAAAGCATATCTGTCAGGTGTCAATTATAAATTATCAACTGGAAATAAATAAATATATATATATATATATATATATATATATATATATATATATAACTATAAAGAAAAGATAAAAGATGTTTGTGGACTCACGTTCCTTCTTCAATGTTGAGCTTTTCATAGAGTCTAACAACAAACATGCCAACAAGGCGTCCATATGTAGATCCAATCATTATACCTGGAACAAATTGGCCAGCTGGAACAGCAGTACCAAATGTCACCACGGCTAAACCATAGAACATAACCTGAGGAGGAGCAACACACATGCAAAACAATAACAGATTTTAACTAACAATGATGTCACTCTAATCTTTTTAATTTAGTTACCATTGTATTTGTATATCATCAATCTTAGATTTGAAATTTGTTGGTTTGGTTACTTTTCTCTTCTACTTAAAATTCCATACTTTTCATTCAAACTTCTTTTTCAAATGTTAAAACTACAAAACAAATAGAAACTGTCTTTCACAATACCAAAAACTATAACTGCAATAATTAATCAATTCTTATTTCAATATGCACAAAATTACCTACAATATGTCAAATATCCAAGCATCAAGTTTCATTTTAGAAGGCTTCTTTATACCAATCTATATCCTATTCCTAATTGCTATTTATTAAATATTATTTTGTTTTCACGAAATAGATGTCAAGTAAAAGTGGAGGTGAGGGATACCAGAAAAGTCAGCAGGCTCTGGGCACTGTACTCATGAATGGTTTTCGCACTGAATAGATTTCTTATAGCATCATCCTGCATCCAGATAAATGGAAAATAAAAAAAAAAAAACAAAACAAAACAAAACCTAAGGGATGAGGTTAGGTTACACATGAGTAACGTATAAACAGAAGAAAAAGCAAATACTGACCTGAGTATTAAAGAAGATGGTTGCAAGGTCATTGTATTCATTCTCCTTGGTACAAAAAAACTGCAAATAAAAAGGGTAAACCCATCAGGGGAAATTAAAACAAAGCCATTAGTTTTGCACTATTTTAAGTCTGTTTATTGTGTGAAAAAAAAATGTAACAACAACATCAACATGAACACCTTAACAGTCATTTTTGTGCTTAAACTCATATACACTTCAACAACATAATTTTATAACTACTAAAAATAAATTTGCATTATTTTAAGTTAGTTTATTTTTATTGTGTGAAAAAAGTTATAAAAATCAAAAAACGACCTTACATTTACATAATTCCCATACATCCCTGGTGCACGAGGACATTCAATAGAAGCATCTGAGTCAGGGCATGCACTACATTTTCTAAAAAGAGGCAATCCAAATGAGATCACTGAAGTTATCACGGATATAAGACATGCTTCAATTATCTGTAACAACAAGTCAAAAATCAAGATTACAATCCAAATCCAATCATATATTCCAAATACCAAAATGATTCATTCAACAGAATTATTATAAGGTGACAAAACATACTTTGACTCGGTTTCCTTTCTTGTGTAGATAGTTTCGACGCCAATGTGTTATATAAAGTGTGAGCTGGTTAAATAACGCTCCTAGATATAAAACAAAACAATTTTCCAATTTAGAATTTTAAATATACCCTTTTTTCGTATAGTAAATGAATTATCAAGAAAACATACCAAGGAGGCCTCCTATGACACCAATAATAGCCATTGGCAATAACTCCGCAAATGAGTAGTCCTCTTGACCACTAAATCAAATTTAATGAGAAACCAACAATCAGATTAAAATTAAAATTAGTATATATACTAATAAGAAAGTGAAAGTGAATAGTAAAGAGTTTGGCCACAATAGTTTTCTATATTGGCAATTTCACTCCCTAGCTTTTTTGGGTTTAAAAGTTTGGCCACAAGACTTTCGTATATTGGAAGGTTTGGTCTCTATACTTTCGTATATTGCCATGTTTCGTCCCAATACTTTTTGAGTTTCACACTTTCGCCACAGGACTTTTGTATATTGGCAATTTTAGTGCTTATTCTTTTTGGGTTTCAAACTTTGGCCACAAGACTTTCGTATATTTGCATATTTGCTCCCTAAACTTTCGTAGTTACGCAAGTTCGGTCCCCCCACGAAGCAGGGGTAGTAACTTACTAGTTTAAACTAAAAAGAGATGGGAAAATGATATGATATGAGGTCCTCACTCTGACAAATCCCATATTATGAAACCTCCAGAACCAAAATGGCCACAATTCCCAGTCTTACACCATCCCATTGCAGTACGCACTACAACCGCCACAACTGCAGAAGTGAAGAAAACACGCCACATCAGCTGACTCCTCCACCTTCAATAGTAAAAATGAAAAAACCGATTATTATTATTATATATAATGTTTATGTATATATATGTATAACAATTAGAGGGAAAAGAAAAGTTTACCAAGATGTAACTTCCTCTAGAGCGAATAATACACCGCCAACTGGAGCTCTGAAAGCAGCAGCCACACCAGCTGCACATCCACATGTCACCTTTCAAAAACAAAACTCATAAAAAACAACAAACATGAATACACTCATCTCACAATCACTTTTACAATCAAAAGCAGAAAAAAACAATTACAACTATACAGCAAGATAAAACAAACCTACTCTCTTCATAAAATCACATAATTCAGGTTTTTATGCACTTTGTTTTAGATGTAGTTTATACTATATAGGGCTTCATATGGTCTTTATAGTTTATATTTGTTCTCAAGTGAAGATCTTAAACTGTAAAATATGTATGTTCAAGAACATAAATCAATATAAATATGACTCACAAGATCACGGCGATCACGGTCACTCTTAAAGACCTGTAGCCACCTTGTACTCAGATGATATTTTGTTGATCCACCCTGAATATCACATTAATTAACAACAAGACCATGTTAGCAGGTTTTAAAACAGAAGAGTAAGATTGAATATGTTAAATTTGAACTAAAAGAAAAAGTCAACTGAGATGAATATAATAATAAATGTTTCAGTGGATTTTCTCATCAGCATATGACATCCTTCACCAACAATGAAGATCAATAGTTATTATCTCTGTCTTGCAAAGTTTTCATATTTCACCAATTATATATTACACGAAAGAAAGTTTGGCAGGATCAAGATCTATGCTACTATTTTAAGATTATTACTATTTATAGATAGATGTCATTTCCTTTGATTTATGGATGCTTTTACATTGATTTACTTTATCTTCTTTCCTTCTATCCTCCACATATACGATGTATATTCAGGTTTTCTCCTTGGGAATAATACACGCTCATTTTCAAATCCTAAGCATGTCTATAGCTATCAAACATATTACATCACTATAATATTGAGTTTCTAATATCTATAGATGAACCTTTTATAAGACTATACTTTTTTCTCACCAAAAGGCAACAGGTGTTGTCATGAGCACCTCTTGCATTGACAACTCATAAATCTCTAGGTTTTGTACCAAAGAAAAACTCAAGAAAAGAGGGAGGCTGAGTGGCATAATCACACAGGTCCCCGGAAGGCAAATCAACTGAAAGAAACAAGAAAAGACAGATTCTTATGTGTGTGTGTGTTTGGAAGATGTCAAATCCCATGAAAATGGTGTTAGTGGAAGATTGTGTGTGAATATCACATGCCTGTAACTTAGACATCATTAAAGATACATGTGGTCCTCTTCTCCATTACTTAAAAAAAGAAAAAGTAAGCCTGATGTCAAATAATGTAAACCATAATACTATTTTCTTCCAACTTATTACTTGATTTATTTTATTATACTATTTTACATGCATCATTCACCTTTTGAAGTGATTCTTTATGTTCAAAATCATCTTGAACTAATTTACTTCAAGTATGTCTCCATATATCACTATTGTAACTATTATGTTACCTACACAAACTCTACTAACATAGCTATGCCAATAAAATTCAAAAGTGGCCACTATGTCAGAATCTGCTTTTTAGCTGAATTTCATTCAAAGTAAACTTTATTTTTTTTTGGAAAGATACCACATCACAGTTCCACCCAAAAAATACAATAGCTTCTTTGTTAACTAGGACAACTAGAATTATAAATAAATAAATAAATAACTTTGCTTACTTGTCCCAGTAAAGAAGCAATACAAGCACCAGTATGAACTAGAGGCCCTTCTTTACCAAGTGCCAATCCACCACCCACAGATCCAATGCTTCCAAAAATCTATAATAATTCATCCATATCCCCTTTATCAAAATATTAACTAACAATGAAACATTCATACATAACCTCATCAAAATAAGAAATTGGCATCACCTTTCCTATTAGGGTTCTAAAAAGAAGTATACCACGAGTATCAATCCCTGCAAATTCTCATAGCAATCACTTAATAAGCTATGAGCATTACAACGAGTTTAGAATAAATGTAACTGAAAAGGCTTACTTACCATTCAAATAACCCTTGATTTCAGGTATACCAGACCCTGCTGCTGCAGGGGCAAATTGGGTAATGATATAAACAGATGAAAAGACTAAAGCCAAGTTGATGGAGGTATATACAATAAACCCAGCCACATATGAACGCTGTATTATTGTAAATGTCCATGAGTACTTCCATCCAGCAAAATTCTCAACTGAGATATTGATAAGAACAGCAGCAAATCCAGTGCCTAAACTCTCAACCAATCAACAAGTAAAACATGTCACAACACTGAACACCATATTATTTTATTTCAAATGCCCATTATATACAAACAATTTAAGGCTTATAAGGGGCTCACAATTCTCACTTTCTATACATGTGGAACAAATCATTACATAAACCTACATAAGAAATAGCCATCTTCATATCATTTCTTACAACGAGTAAGGGGTTGTTTCTTTTTTACTTAATCTGTGTTCAACATTTAAACAAGATTCTGTAAATGGGTCCAAGAACATGTGGATTGTAGTTTCTTTGCATCTACAGTTGGTAGGCTACTAATTCTGTAAACAGGTAGGCCAAAATAAAATGGAACAAGAATAATTTATTCAATAGTTAAGGGTTTTGAATGGTTTATGTTGGTTACATAACTTACAATCAACTAAGCTTAAGTACATTAGAGTCATTTAGTCAATAATTGAGGATTTTAATGGCCCTAATCTGATAAATCGCTTTTAAGTTTTTGAGGATTTTAGTTGTAGTGAGCATAAACATGACTCTCATACAATTAGAGATATCCGAAAGATCATACACCTTATAAGTCTCACAAACTCAAACTAAACCCTAAAAGCCACTCTTCAACTTTGTTCAGTGGATGGAGGAATCAATGTTATAACATAGTATCAGCAATCACATGAGAAGGCCATGGTCACAAAATCAAAGCTATAGAGCCATCAAAAAATCGAACATAATTGAACCAAAGAACACCTGTATCAAGCGGAAGATTATTTTACCTATGCCTATAAGCAGAGCAAAGAACCATTTAACTCCCACGTAGTACCAAACATAAAGCTTTCCTCTTCGCGCCTGCAGTTACGACAGGTTAATAGTTTGCGGTTGCTAATTAGATTGAAGTCGACAACAACAATATTATAATTAATTAGCTGAAACCTGTTCTTGCCGATAGGCGTAGTTCTCAATGACTTCATAATCAAGACTTTCAACACCATCGAATCCATCGTTTCTCAAAACCCCATCTTCATCAAGTTCAGCATCACTACCATCTTCCGCGTTGGGCAACCGAGACCAAATTAGCTTGGCGGTCTCGACACCGTTCTGAAGATGGTTCGCCAGCATTATTGTGGCGAGATCAATTCAATACTCTGATCTCGCGAAATTGAAGACGTTTTGTTCGTTTGGGTGTAAGAATTTGGGGAAAGAGAGATGGTTTGTGGGGGTTTTGAGGACTAGAAAGAGGATTTGGGGCTAATGATCCTCTCTCTCTCTCTCTCTCTCTCTCTCTTTGTTGATCTATAATGGTGGCGATCGATTCATGAATCATGTACTAGTGTGTTGGTCATACAGTCGCTGTTGATGAAACGTGGTTTAAGATAAATTCCTTCCCACCCAACTGAAAGGCTTTGTATGACGCGTGAGAACCTCGGATTAAAATCAATTACAACCTGTGTCGGGTAAAATATGAAATAGTGAAAGTCCTTTTTTTTCTATTAAATAATAAAATATGGGAAATTAATGCGTTTAGTTGCGAAAAAATAGACTGTTTTCGAAAAAAAAAATTCCAAGAAAAAATGAGAATTTTGAAAACGCGTTTAGTTATCTATTTTTCTAAATTTTTTACGGACAATGAAAATTTTTCGTTTTCTAAAACTACAAAGAAGTTAAAAAAATCTGTAAAACTGATAATCATTGTTTTCTATATTTTTCAAATTCCAAAAAAATTTTAAAATATAAACAAACATCCACCTCTACCTACCCCACCTTAACACCCCCAACCCACCAGACCTCTACCTACCCACACCCCCCCCCCCCACACACACACATACATACCTACAAACACATACACCTATCCCCACCCCCGCCCCTACCCCCACAAACACACACACACACACACCCATCCCCACCCCCACCCCCACAAACACACACAAACCCACCCCCACACCCACAAGCGCGCACACACACATACACCCACCCAGCCACCCAACACCACTACTACAATCACCGACCTACCATCACCACCACCATTACCCCACTGTTGCCGCCGCTGCCACCATCACTGCCACAATTGTCGTCGCCACCACCGCCTGTCATCACCACCACCGCCGCCGACCCGCTACCATCGCCGCCCTCACCCCTACCATACCACCGCTACCATTTTCTAAAAATAAAAACCGATAGAAAAATACACATCTAAACACGTTTTCTAATTTTCTAAAACTGAAAATGAATAATGAATAAGTTTAACTAAACACGTTTTCTAAATTTTCCAATGAAAAATGAAAACGGAAAACGAAAACTGAAAAGGGAAAACGAAAAACGGAAAATGAAAACTGTTTTTCCGTAATTAAACGCAACCTAAATATTCTTTTGTATTTCTTCTAACTTATCCTTATACATACGTTAAATGGTGAAGTAGTGACAAATATATTAAAATATTATCAATTTAAAATATAACACATGTCAAACATTTTAATATAGAGAGCCGGCCAATTTATCACAAGTGGGTGTATAACCCCACTTAAAAATAGTCTCCATGTAGTATTTTAGCAAAAAAAAATTATGAAATTGGATAATTGGTCCCATACTCCCATTTAACTTTTTTGGCACCGATATTTGCTGATAAAAAAAAAACTCTTATTTTTTATTTAATGTTCATTATATTTATCATTTATATATGATTGCCCTGGTTAGTGTAAATTCTAGATCACCCACAGAATATAGGTAGGATGATGAGTATGAAGAAAATGTAGGAAGATATTTAAGTTCTCATAAAATATTTATCCATACTATATATAAGCATATTAACCAAAATATTGTGTTTGGAACCCTAGTAACAGAATGGAATAATGGTGTGTAGTCAATTAATTGTGCATTTTTGTTTAATAGTGCGTAAATATTTAATGGTTCGAAAACTCTTATGATGCAGGTCTGATTTAATTGGTGCGTTGTCTAGACCTTCCAGGAGGTCATTAATTGGTGCAGTGATTTTTTCTTTTTAGTGCAGTTAAAGAAATGACATCATTAAATGTTGACATTTAATGATGTGTAGTTTGTTGGTGTGGGTGAGAACCGGCACCAATTAATCATTTAACCGCATCAACAAATGTGTTATGTACTAGTGTGTACAAAAACTTTAGTACAAAAACTTTACTCTCCAATTATTAGAAAATCTGAAGAGCCTTGGTGCATAGGTGGAAAGCTTGTAGCACTGGAACACAAGTACCCTAAAGGAGTGCATGGATTGATGTTTTAAGCTATGATGTAGGTGCAACTTTAGCAATTTTTTTTTTGTGCTTGAGACTCAAGCTGAGGAAATTAGTCAAGGGTAGAAATGATTATGTTTTCTATGTCAAGGTTTTTCCTTTTTCATTGATTGTTGTTGTTCAAGTTACGACATGTGGACTAACATTAGAGGCTCTAGATGTACTTTGCGAAGAAAAGATGAATTTGATATTGTAATTAGGGATGTCAACATGTCTGACATGGATGGTTTTCTGCTTTTCAAGCATGTGTGACTTGAAATGGATCTTCATGTCATTAGTCGGTCTCTTAATTTTCTTCCCCAAAGTAAATATATGCGGTGCACAAAAAATTTGGTGTCTTAGTCGTTAAAAATCTTCGGTGAAACGAGAAAAAAAAATATTTGGTTGTTTGGAAAATATTTGACTGTTTGAGAAAAAGATGTTCATTTTAATGTCAATTATAACATTTACTTATATTATTTTTTTTCTATTATAGCATTGAACTTTCATTTTAATGTTTGATTATATCATTTTACTTATATTCATTTTTCAATTAAAGCATTGAACTTTCATGCTAATGTCGATTATAGCATTTTATGTTTATCTTAATGATAATTATAACATTTTAATCTCAACTATAACATTTTTAATTAATGTGAATTACATCATTTTACTTTTATTTTTATGTCATTCATAGCATTCAACTTACAATTTAATGTTGATTTTAGCATTTTTAGTTTCATTTATTAAATCATTCAACTTTCATGTTATTGTAGATTATATCATTCAACTTTCATGTTCTTGGTTTTCATCACATTGGCTTGTGTGTGTATCTGGTAGAACTATTTCGAAGATCAATATCATATCGTCCGTGTTCACATGAACCTATCACTAGTATGTTTATAAAAATGTAAAGCTTCATATTTATATGTTGAAATTGTGAGATGACAAATGATGATGTGTCAATATTATAAAGCTCCAGCATTGGTGATGCTCTAGTTAAGTACTCAATACAGCCCAGAAGTAAAGAAGGTACACACCATGGTAAGGCACAAAGTGTCTTTCGTCGATTCAAATATTTTGATGATCCAAATACAAAAATAAAATTTAAGGCTCTTTCCTACACCAGTAAACTACATATTGGAGACCTACTATATTAAAAGTCAAAGAACAAACACTGGTCAGGTCAACGCTTTGACTACACAGCCTTATGAACGACTGATGGTCTGGACCTAAAATGACTGAAGGCCATTTACAGAAGCACACGTGTATAAGGCACCCATTGTCTTAACAAACAAAGCCATAAAATGTCACCATCTTTCTTTCAGGCTATGCATGCTCTAAAACAGCTCCATCAACTGCTGGACAACATCTACAACAATAAAATAATGTCAATACTTATTTATGCATAAATAATAATGAAATGACATACATACCCTTGAGTACAGATGGTGGTGTGTAGAACTCCTGCCAAACATTTTGATATGTAGTAAGATCCATATTTAAAGATCTTGCAGCAAGGTATGCAGCTCCAGCAGCAATCTGGTGGGGTTTGAATTGAAGCCAAAGTGAGCTACGCAGCCTTCAAAAAAAAAAAGTAGTCGAATTTAGGAGATAACATCAAATCAATTCAACAATACATTAAAAAACAATTATCTGATGATTAAACACACCATTTTGTAGCAATAGAAGGAATGATGAAGATCTGGCACAAATATGAGCTTCAAGTTTTAGTTTAGCAGTAATTAGTAATTACCATAGAGATGAGTAGTTAGTTAGTTATGTGATGTGATGGCAGGTGTGAAATCAAATGCAATTTTCTCTTACCAACAAAGAAAGGCATAGCATGTGCATCTGGTGTACATTTTCCAAGTATCTTCAGAATTGCTGATGGAATGAGCATAAAATAGACATCTACAACACAAAATCTAGTACAATGCCCACTTTGATGATGAAGCTTATAGAGCTTAACTGGCAACTAAATTGTATTTGGCAAGAATTGGATATCAAATCCTGTGCTTGGTTAAAAATGAGTATGAAGATTCCATCTTAAAACCCATGGATTTCATTTTTCAGCATTTCCTCCTTGTTAAAAATAACCGATTACCCTCTTAACCCTATATTTTTATAATTTAAGGTCTCTCTATCTCTTGCCTCCTCTCACCTTCACTTTCCCTCCTCACTCATGATTTCCAAACGTGTGATAGAATCCTATTCCAAAACCATAACACCTCATATTATCAGGTATTCTCTTTGCTAATATGCAAGTCTTAGGCTAATGCTAATCTAATGGTATCAGGATAAAGCAGCATGCTGGTGACTATGCAAACAAACAGCAAATTTTCTTGTAATTTTAGCTTTACACTACAAAAAATAAATAATAAAAACAAATTGAGGGTCCCTCTCTTCAACTAGATCCACCCCTGTTGCCTTTTGAGATCTCAAAAATTATGTTAACCTTCACTCTAGAAGGAAACATGACATTTGAAAAAAAAAAAAGGATAAAAAGGGGATAGTGTTGGTGGTCACATCTGCCTCTATATATATGTTCGAGTCTACCCTCTCCCGAAAGGGCACTTTTGGAAATAAAATCAACAACTCCTAACCATCATCCAGTGAACAAAAAGTAATCGCAACCCTCCACTCTGTAAATCAGAAATACTAGTGCACCATGACTCAGATGTGGTCATACATCTGTGTTTGTTACATGGAACAGGAAGCTTTCTAGAGCTATTGCTTATGAGAAGGGCATTCACGTCTTTTGCACAAACGAAAGATCAAGAGCAAGTGTATGGTGGGGCAAAAAATTGTAACTTTTAGTGAGATTAAGTTAGGAAAAAAATTTGATTGAAAACTGCATTGCATGCATCCAAACACTATCTGTCTTTCAACTTCAGATGAGATGAGATGAGAAATAAAACTCTATGAATCCACCAGCTAACAAAATCATACACTCTGTGCATGCTACACTCTTCTATTGCCCCTGCAATTATATGCCAATCCAAAAAAATCAATAAACAATGCAGACAACTACTACTCAATTACATGCAATGCAACATTACTCCATCAACTGCACACCACCAACTACCAAGCAATATCAATGGAACATTCTGAACAAGTAATTAGGTGAGAGTGAGATAACAGCAACCTTCTAATTCATCTATCAAAGGGAAGAAATGGATGGCTTACCCTTCACTGACCAAGCTCAATGCCAGGTTTACCAAAAGTGACTGTGCAAGCCCTAATTTGTCAAGAATGGATGTGAGATGTGTGTATGGATGCTGCACATTCAGCTCAAAGTTTAGAGTTGTCAAAACCATTTGCTCAGCTTCAAGCACTCGTTCTCGGTATTCATCAAACCAATCCTGTTGAATAGTTAGTTGTACATTAGATAAAAACAATCTTACAAAGTAATATAAAAAGATTGAATGCTAATAGAAAGTTTAAGAAGTCACCATAGGAAGTAAATAGCAGAGCACATTGAAATCCTGCTTGTGAAAAATTTCAGAGGACACTCTCAATACATCATTCAGAGGGCAAGGTGTCTCCTCCGACTTTGCAGCAAGAAAAAGAGCAGCAGTAGCAATCAGCTGCAGGATAATTGTATAAGTTATAACAGCAAAATGTATAAAGATTATATATCAAATTCTTTCAGATAAACTTGTGGTTTAAAAATAGAACGCGTCCAAGGGATAATTACTTCTAGTATCATATTCTCATAAAGATTACATTTTGAAAGTGGAATAAAATGATAATGGAAAAAAGGCCTACATGCAATAAGTATTAAAATCTAAGATACAAAAACTGTCATGGGATTAATTAGTTCTTCACCAAAGAGAAATGATAACTTACAAATCTGTCATGGGATGCATGAGACCTCCGGACAAAAAACCGGTGGCATAGAACCATAGCAGTTCCAATAGTAGTTTGTGGTCTGTAGTGAAATTGAAAGAAAGCTAATGTCAAACTTCAGAATAGACAAAAGTTTATATTATTGCCTGATTTTAAAAATGTATACAAGTAAATTATAAACTAAAATGCTTTGCTTACAGCTCAAGGCGAAGTCCAAGGTTCTGAAGAAAAGCACAGTAAGAGTAGCGCAAGTGAGTTTCCTGTAAAGCATCAATACCATCTTTTCTGGAAGGAGAAAACCTCTCAATCTGATCCCTTGACATAAATTCTACATCTTCTTCTTCAAATCTTGTTCGATCACGTTTATAGCTAGTGGATGTGGAAACTTTAGGATTTCCATCAGGAAGAGGGAATGTGATCTTGGAGCTTGAAGGAGAATATTCATATTTGAAAGATGGATTATGATTATTATTATTATTGTTGTTGTTGTTGTTGTTATGATTATAAGATGTAGCATAACCTTCCCAATTGGTGGAAGAAAACTTCCTCCTTTTAAGAGAAGGTGGTAAAACTTCGGGATCAATGTGATTATAAATGTTGTATTGATGTCTGGATTCGTTTGAGAAGTCATGGGAATTGTTGTAGCTTCTTCTATGGTTGTTGTTATTGTTGTAACGCCTGTTGGTAGTGAAGTCTGTGGAGGCGGAGGAATATACGTGAGGGTAATTTCGTCCAAAGGTAAATCTAAAATCACCGGGGAATTGTGTATTATCTGCGTGATGAGGCCGAGCAAGGGACATTGTTCCTGTATAAATTACCAAAAGAATTCGTATAAGGAGAAATAAAATAAAAAATCTAGAAGGTTTTCATACTCTTTCGAAAGAGATAATAAGTATACAAAGGACAATACTATTGAAAACTAAATAATGGAATTCAATTGCATTCCTTGTAATTCTATATTTGGTTTATAGATATATCTGCGGAATTGTAGTTGATGAAATGTCAAATTCCTTGAAGTGAAATAATATTGAATCCGACATAATTCAATTCCTTGAAAATTTTAAATCAAAGACGATATGCCATGTGGTCAAACGGAATCTTGAATTCCATTCCATTAGGTTCACCAAATTTTGACAAATGAAACATGCCCTAAAGGAAGAGAACAGTCTTTTCATGTTTCTAAGGATGTAAAACATATTGGTTTTGTTACTCCACAAAATTATCTTGAAGCTTGTTGCAACACAATATATCAAATAAGAAACTTCAAGATACAATCTCAAGCAAAGATGACCATTGGAGATGTTTGAGGTATATATGTGGATAGTTGTTGATATTAGATCTGATAAATCCTCAGGCGAATTATTGGGGTTTATAATTATCTTTAAGAGCCTACAATCAACCACAACCATAGCGACCAATATCATCAGAATTTCATGTATCTAACGACTCTTGAAAGCTTCTTTAAGAAAACCAGACAAATAGATCAGCAAGAAAAGAAAGTAAAGATCTTGAGCAAAGAAAGAAAAGGTATTCCTTTATGCTCGTCTCTGAGAAAAAAAAAATCAGTCAGTTTATTTCTCTTGATCCACTTCTATACGACACCATGAGCAGCAACTCCTTACGCAATTTAACATAATTTCGATTTCACATAATACAGTACATACTGAATTTTAGGTATGCTCGCAGATGAGCCCAGATTCCATTGATCTCATGGAGAGAACGTAAAAAGACCTAACAATCTGAAGTCAATAGGTTAAAGAGCAAGAAAAATCTCGCCACGCCTAAACTTGCCTAAAGCAAACAGGACTATCATCACTAAAATTCTGAAAGCAAAAACTAAACCTAAAATATCAACAACCAGCTTTGCTTTAAATCATCCCAGGCACAACTATGTATTACAGAAGTGCAAAAAATCATACCGATGACTATTCTGTCACGAGAAAAAGTCGATCCAACGATTAATAACTACTCGATCTTCTTCGTTGATGGAGGATCGGAGAAAGTTCTGAGATTGGGGGAGTTAGGGGGAAAATTCGTGTCCTACAAAGAAACCGTTTGTCAAAGGAACCATTGAAGAGGATCGTAAAAGAGATCTCTAATATCCGGAAAAAGGAAGGTTTTTTAATTTTAATTTACTTTTCTTTTTGTTCAAAAGTCACGCTAATGTATTAATTTTATCATCTTTAATAAATTGTTATCTCTATTAAAAAAAAAAAAGGGTATATTGTTCTCGTCTTCGTGTAGAAGGTGTGAAACACAAACAATATTTTGAAAGTCTTGGTGTTTGAAATTTGGACTTCCTTGATTCCATCGCCAAATAAATTGTTATATTAGAAACTAGCTGTGAGACTCGTATATTATACGGGTTAATTTAAAAAAGAAAGATTAAACATTAAAGTGTAAGAAATGAATAAATGTATTCATTGCAATTTAATTTCATATATATATTTTATTTAATACTTTACATATATAAGCATACGACTTTAATTTTAAAATTTGAAACAAATCAGAAATTGACAAGCGGATAATATTTATTTCAAAAATACGACAAAATGACAAGTATCAAAACTCATGAAAGATTGACAAGTGACAAAATTATTTTTATATATTAGGGAGGATATATATATTTAGGTAGTTTTTATAAGTTTATTTCAAGATTTAGCTAAAAGTAATGACATAAATAATCATCAATTTTGTAGCTACGGAAACACCAAAATTTATACAAAAACTCTAAAACGTTGTCGTTTTTGTTATTTTCATAGGATTCCCCATGAAATTGACTAGACTCATAATTTTAGACAAATAAAAACTTGAAGTTTTCTATTTTAACTTCATTTCTTAATAAAATGGAAACTCAAAATTCTTTTATACTTAATCTCAAACACTCATATCTCAAGCTCAAGTCATAAACACTCGTTGAGTTCAAAGTTCATATTTTCGTAAGATAATGATTTGTTTAATTTTAATAGTGAATGTTAAACCTAAAATAGATAGGGATACATAAAGGGTCACTGTCTAACATAAACCTTAATGGCATTGGGCTTAAACCCTAGATGCTAACATACTAACACACCCATCCCCTCCCCCCCCCCCCCCACACACACACACACTCCCGACAGTTTGATCGAGAAGAAACAATTAAACTAAAAAAACATAGATGTAGACAAACTAAAAAAACATAGATGTAGACAACAGTAACGACAACGGTGGTGGTAGAACTCTAACGATGGTGGCTAACAACGACTGATCGTCAAAGAAAAATATAGAAGAAGCAAGCGGGTATTAAATATAGTTGGCATTGTACTATAATAGTTACTAATATCAAAAGTACAATTATATTGTCAAAACCAAGACAAGTAACACATGATTCCACTGCCCATATGTGTCACGTGTGAGAACACCTCATTAATGATTGTCTCACGTAGGATTTCACGTGAGCAAAAACCTAAAGAAACCAATCATAAATGAAGAAATGAGAAAAAATCAGTAAACCTAGACTTGTAGAGTCCAAGTGTTGAAAAAACTGAAACAGAGTTTCAGAATCATTAAGTGGCAAGTAATACGGAAACTAAAAAATTGTGAATCAACCAAGTTAATGATAAAACGTTTTTATGCTCGAGATCAATGATTCAAACGTGTCTCATATTCATAAAGATTCAGTTACAAGTGTTTGAATGGTAAACACACTAAAACACTCAAATTGCTCTCTAAAATCTAGTCTAAACAGCAAAATGTGCAGAATGAGCAGGAAGAGCAAGAATTGAGCAACTTTATAATGGATCCCAAGGGGTCTATTTATAGGATTTGGAAAATCCCATGACATGGCTTGACCAATCAGGTGTTGACACGTCATCATGACTTAGTCATTAGTTGACACATTTGCCCTACTTAACGGACAACAGATGGAATATTCCAATTCCATTAGGGTTCCATCCAAGCTTTGAGTCTTCATATCTCTTGAGCCTTCTTGGTCAACATTGAAAGTATGGTGAGCATCATGTTGCTCCATTTTCTTCTAGAATGTAATCAACTTCCAAAAGTGTCATTGATCAAGTTGAGTTGTTTATTGAATGTTGGAATGTGTCTTGAACTTGAAGATGTACAACCACGTGTTCATGATGGACCATGAACGAAATGTATGTGTCATTGAGAACTTGGACGTGCCTTCATTGTACATGATGTGTCATGTGCAATCTTGTTGAGCCATCAATGTGATCATGTTGATCCATTGACTTGACATAAGCCACTAAGTATTCGTGCTGATCTATCAACGTCTTGTTGAGCCATAGAGTTGTAAATGAGACAACAATGTTTCTGATGATCAATCAATGTCTTGATGTTCCACATATGATCTAGATGTGCCATCTGAGATCATGATGGTCAAAATTGCTTTCTTTAAGTGCTTCGTGCTCAACAAGTGCTCCATGTCAACTACAAGTGCTCAATGTCAACTGCAAGAGCTCCAACATCTGATTCTTCAAACACTTGTTGAATCTTCAGGATCTTTTTGACCTGAAACATTCTGATAATGTTTATTAGAAAATGTAAATCAATACTCAAGTTATTTTAAGTGACAATCACGTAAAAATATTTCCAACAGTTTCCTCCTATGTGATGGTTACTGAAATAAGGAGTTGTAAAAAAATGTGCAAAAGGAAAAATATTGATTTAACATTTTCCCCCTCCGCTTTAATGGAATTTTCTGTTGAAGCATACACACTTAAAAAAAACTTTAAGAATTATTCGAGAGAATGTCTTCCTCGAACTTGAAAGATTTTATTAAAGAAAGTTTTAACTGTCAATATGACAATTGGTAAGAAAAAAAATGGAATTGATTATTAAAAAATATGTTCGAATTTGCACGATCTAGACAAAAATTTGATTTGTCAAGATAAGAAAGTAAAGTGACAGATAGGAATAACTTGCAAATTCGTTTTGTGTTTTATGTAGGCCAAAAGTTTGAAGAAAAATCAAGTGTTGAATAAGAATGAAAAACTTGATCTTTTTCGACAAACTAGAAATAAAAAATAAAACCATATCAGATAACATGTATGAGTATTTTAGGAAAACTTACTTGAGCTCGGTTGATTGCATACACCACACCCTTTCTTGTCTTAGAAACTCTTTTCTTAAAAATACATTTCTTTTGAAAAAAAAAACTTTACCAAATCCTCAGTTAGAGTTCAGACACACCCGAGGGTATGTCCGAATCCCTCAAACTAAGGCTCTGATACCAACTTGAAACGTCCCAAAAATAAGACCCAAAAGTTTCGTTTTTAATTTAATAAAAAACGGTATTGTAAAACATCATCAATACAATCCACATAGAATAAGTGAATTAAACATCATATCATATCAGGGTGAATAACAAAAAGTGGAACGACGTGGTGTGTGCTCTGCAATCATCCCGAGCCCTTCCCCTTGGAACTAGAAGTACCTGAAACATAAACCGAAAACCATAAGCACAAAGCTTAGTGAGTTCCCCCAAGATACCACATACTATACATACATAACATATAACGGGCCCCGCCCAATGAGTATAACAGGCCCCGCCCTAACTCGGAAAACGGGCCCCGCCTTAGCTCGCATAACGGGCCCCGCCCATATACAATTCATATAGGATAATAGATAATAACATACAGAATAACCATCGGGCCCCGTCCAGTAAGCATACAAGCACATACACATACTAGTGTCACACAGACAACGAGTATCCTAACATAACAGATCATGAGTCGTCATTGGTGCCTTCGACCCGCTAAACATGGTGAGGAAACTCACCTCATACTGCTGAACCTCATAGATAAAACTCTAGTTGTTGGTCAGCTGAAATCCCCACGCTATCAATAAAATATCATTCAATTAATAATCATCATTCTAAATTAAGATAAAAAGACCACTTTACCCTTTTATCTAGATTGGTCCAAGACCAAGGCCCAACTAACTACACTAGAAGGGCCAAATTCCTCAATGATTACTCAAGCCCAAATATGGCCCATTTTCCAAATTGGGTCCAATCCTCTTCATGAGCCTTCAACCAAAAGTCCAATAAATACCATTAGCCCATCATAAAATCCCAAGGCCCAACATGATCCAAAATCTATGGTCCAAACTCCAACAGCAGGTTCTCACGTCGTGGCCAGGCCCTGGTCACGTCGTGTGGGCCAACTCAACCCAGTCCCGACTTGGCGAGTCAACTCAATCCATCGAGAATATTCCAGACTCCTGCACGTCATGACCCAACCTTGAGTCACGTCGTGACCTATTCCGGATAAAACAGACAGGGTGGCCAACATCCTCACGACGTGAAGGTCCTAAACCCCACGTCGTGAGATATAAACAGATCACCTTAAGTCACTAAGCTCTTAATCCTTTCAGCCATAACTTGGGACTATCCAGGGGGTCTCCCTTTACCCAAAAGATGATAAAAATCAAAGCTTTTCAATCATGCATGTCCAATGCATGAATCAAACTTTTATTAGACCAAAAGTGGGGAAAATGAGATCTAGACTCAAACTTAGAGTCCCAAACTTCAACAAAACTCAGATCTTAAGACTATAATGAAGAGAATAAGCCACTGATCCATAAAGTTGCCAACTTTATAGACCCCATGCAAGCAATCCCACCCAAACATGAAAAAAGGAGCTCATAACTTAGATCTAGAAAGAAATAGATGGAAAGGTCCAAGCTTTATGACTTACAATGGTCCAAAAGCTCCAAGAGATTGCAAGATGAAAGCCAAAACGCCAAGAGGTTGCTCAAACAAGATCTTCTTCCACTTCAAGTAACCAAAAACCACCAAAGAATGCTTCAAGGATCTCAAAAATGCTTATAAACTTCAAGAGAGTCGAGATTAGGGTTTTCCAGAGGCTTAAAGGGTGAGAGAGGCTGAGGATGGATAACCCTAGCCTTTCATTCACTTACATACCTGAAAATTAGGGTTTTGGGTCACTAAGTCGATCCCAAGTCGTGAGACCTATGCCTCACGTTGTGAATTGTAACATCCCGATGTTCAGGTACTTCTAAATTCATCCATATAATTCTATTTCATGTCAAATTGGTCAAGCTGTAACACCCTTGGGTATAATTCACCTTTTGAGGACTGGACACGGTGT